AGCCACACCAGCCAGGGCTTAGCATATAATGTCTTAAAGGTGTCTTTTAAGATGAGATAAAGTGATAAATACTATGGCTTAGTAATATTAACACTACGGTGTCGGGTGAATTTCCCGCCAAAATATAAGATGGCGCGGGCAATTATTTAGGTTTCCCGCGCAAAATCAGAGTTAGTTTAAAATGCCTATATCTTTTGAAGTATGGGTTCGATTGAAATGAAATTTTCGGTTTCTTGTGTAAAAAATGAAAATTTATTCAATCACAGACATTTTTTTATCTATTCAGTACATAAATAATTCGATATATATAAACTAAATACGAAAAACCCAAAAAATACTTATTACCTAAAAATATACACATATTTTTAAAGTTTAAAATAAAATTTTCATAATAAATCAAAACAAATAGAAATTAATAGTTTTTTAGCGTATGATATTTTTCAAAACACGCCCCTTTATGTAGAGGTATATTGCAAAATTTGCACATGTAGCGTGTCTCACTGCGCAATTTATGAACGGAACATACGCGACACCTTCTCAAAATGTTTTTCTTTTTTCCACTTCCGACAATTGCCTGTAACGTATGCTTTCTCATGTCCATCGATAGCCTGCATGGTGGATCAGATGTAGGTGGTTTAGCCCGCATTCCAGAAGTAGACGGTACTGGTTGAAGGTCTGGAACAATGTCCATGTCCTCTGGAATATCATCCGTCAACCAGTGGATAGCTGTTTGTTTCAAAAACATTTTAAAACCCATTTTTCTTTGCCTCACTGATTTGTAAACTGCATAAGAATTAAATAATGCGCAATTTATCATATACATTGCCAACCTTTTTGTCCATTTGACCGTCCTCCGCAATATCGAATAATATGAAAGTTATTGGTCGGCCCGGTCAACACCTTTCATATGTTTATTGTAGTCAATGAGTGCATTCGGTTTGACAATTTTCTTTTTTGATGTTCTGTCAATATTCTGACTTTCTTCCATCTCCGCAGAATGAATCGAAGAAATCAGGTATACAGGCTTTTTTGATTGCCACACTTTTAACAATATATCATTTTTCCTTATAAATTTTGTTTCACCTTTTTTCAAAGAAATTGTTTGAAAATCTTTAGGTATACCTCGATTTTTCCGGATTGTTCCACATATTCTGAATTTGTTTTTCATAAGTGCTTCACAATTTGCGACGCTATTATAATAATTGTCCATATATATATGGTACCACGAATCAGTGTATGGAGACACTACTGTTTGTATCGTTTCCAATAATCGCTTTCCTTCGCCGCAATAAATTTCCATGTTACAGATATATCCTGTATCACTTTCGCACAACAAACGAACCAATATTCCATATTTAACGATCTTGCCAGCATTATATACCCTAAAGAATAATCTTCCCCTCCAAGGTACGATCCCTTCATCTAGTGATAATTGCTGATGAGGTTTGTAAATATTTATAAATTTAGGCACAAAATAATCTAGTACTGGTCTCACTTTGCAAAGTCTATCTGATTCATTTACGATATCCGCATTATTATTGAAGTGCCAAGCTTTCCATATCTGTCGGAACCTGTCTCTCGTCATCGTTTTACCAAAATATGGCGTCTCCGTCCATGGCTCCGTGGTCCAATAGTCATCTCTTCTATCTTTGCGCACCTGTCCCATGAGAACAATTAACCCTAAAAACTTCTTCATCTCTTGAGGGGTTATATCTTTCCACTTTAGGCTTTTTTTTGAAAGTTTGAAATTATTCCTATTTTGATTATAATACCTGTTTGACTCCTCTACAAGAAATTCAAAAAAATCATCTCCGATAAATAATTTCACGGCATCTTCTATATTATTTATAACAGCATCTGTGTTTAATCCTTGATGCCCTAAAAAATCTTCTAAGACCGGTGGATTATCAACATGCGACCATTCTTCTCTCCCGCCTTCTATATCTGACTCTGAGTCAGAGCTGGAGCTCGAAATTCTTCGTCGCCTCAATGTCCTGGGACGCACCATTACTTCATCATCACTAGAATCTTCATCACTTGTACTCGCATTTTCAAGATCGCTATCACAAGAATAATTGGACAACTTGTCTGCACAAAACTCATCATCACTATAGTCTGAATGCTGCGACATTCTAGGTTAAAGCAAATAAAAATAATACTAACTGAAAATAGCGGTACTCCGATAGATATCTGATATAAAAAAATAATTATTATGCGAACACTTTGCGGAACGATTTTATTTTATTTGGTTAAAAAATTCTATATGAATGTCTTTATCACAATATATTTAAATATTTAAACACGTAATAATATTCACAAAACTCAAAACTAAAGACGTCCGGACACAAGAAGTATTTCTCAATAACTATTCTCTTTGCATGGTGAGATATCCAGGGATATCGGTTATAAAATGAGAAAACAATACATTGGTACCCTAACGGTATTGTACTCGACCAGCGCCATAAAGTGTTCTCTACTTACAAGGGATTTTTATGATACCTATTACCCCAATGGGTATGAAACGGTTCGCATACGCAGGTAGGTATCTTTGTGAACGGCAAACAAACAAATATTTGGTAATACGCAGTTACAATCGGCCCGAGTTTACACGTTTCCCGCACTCCACCGCAAATCTATATGAACCGTGTTAAGACGGCTCCCGCGGAGTACGCGCAATTCACGCGAGCCGACTTAACTCGTTTCCCACAATCCAAGTGTTAATGTGTTTTCCATTATTCATTACTTTTTATATACAAGTTTATATGAAATATGTTTTATTTGGCTTTATTCTTTCTAATAGTTTGATACAAAATTAACATTTGGTATTGAAATGATGAAGCAGAGAGATAATGACATTTGACATATGATTTATATTAGCTATCCAGTAGCACTCTGCCAGCTAAACAAAAAATTTTTTTTCAGATCTCTGCATAATGGAATTATTTCTTTTAGTTTCTAGGTGAATAGTAATCTTTCAGTTTACATAGCACCTAAAAAGAAATAAATGAATTATAGAACATATTTTATTTTTGCTTATATATATATATATATATATATATATATATATATATATATATATATATATGTATGTATTTTAATTAAGTATTAAGTAGTTTTAATACATTTATTATTACAGTGTTTAAATAAATTTATTACATTCATTATATCTGGGCTTAAGTTTTAGCCAATAGAATAGGGGACTTCTACCACTTTGATAGCATTGCTAGAATGGAGTTCTTTCCATTAAAAAATGGTAAATAAGAGGAATGCTTCTTTTTCTTAACCTTTGTTAGTGAAAGAAGAGTAAAGTATAAATTGAAGAGATTGCTCTAAAATAATTTTTAAAAAGTATTTTAATGACGCCAAAGTGCCTTTAAAAGTTTCAGATATAGCCATACAAATGTGTATTATTAAAGAGGAATTCTTTATCCCCGTTTAACGTATCTGCATTAGTTTAGATCTTTTTATGTTGGGATGAGTCTTATGACACAGTTGGTCATTTTTTAAATGGCTTCAGTTTCTTAAATTAATTTTTAGCCTGCTATATAAAATTAGTCCTTTTTAAAATTCTACAAAGGAGAAACAACTTTCTTTAAGAGAAAATCTTCCTTTATTTACTTATATTTTTGTTACTCCTCACCTGAGCATATTTTTCCATTGGTTTTTAGAGAGTGGAAGGGAAAGGGAGAGACAGAGAAACATCGATGTGAGAGACACATCGATTGGTTGCCTTCCGCATGTGCCCTGACCAGGATGGAGATCAAGCCTGCAATGAAGGTACATGCCCTTGACTGGAATCAAACCTGGGACCCTTCAGTCCAAGGGCCGATGTTCTATCCACTGAGCCAAACTGGCTAGGGTGAGAAAAGCTTTAAAAACAGTTTGTTCATCATCACTAAACATTCTGATTTCAGTGCCAAACTAGACAAGATGGTGAGGTAGGAAAATTTCCTTCTTTTTTATCGTTAGGTTTAGTATTCCCTTTATTAGCATTTGGCCTCCTTCCCCCTCCAAGTTTTCTAGTGTTCTCCCAGTCTTGCCTATCCTGTATAATAAAAGCCCAGCGACCATAACGGCAGAATGACCAGAACGACCGCTCAACCAGTCACTATGAGGTGCACTGACCACCTTTTGGTCCTTTTCCCCAGCCCGGCAGGCTCTGATTGCCGATGGCAAATGGGGGACCCGGGGTGGGTGGTGGGGGATGCGGGCGGCACCAGGCCAAGGCCCCCACCCCGCCAGTCGCCCCACACACCGAGGGCGACCTGCGGTGAGGATGGGGCCGATAAGCGGGCAGGAACAGCGGACCTCTCAGTCCCTCCCCCGGCCACCAGGCTCCTATCACCAGATGGGAAATGGGGAACCGGGGTGGGTGGCAGCAGAGGGCGGGACTGGCGAGCGGGCAGAATGGGCCGACCTCTTGGTCCCCCCCCCCCAGGCCCGCAGGCTCCAATCACTGCCGATGGTGAACGGGAACCAGGGTGGGTGGTGGCGGAGGGCGGGGCCGGCAGCTGGGGAAGATGGCCCTGATCGCAGGCTAGGCCTAGGGACCGTATCCACGCACAATTTCATGCGCCAGGCCTTCAGTGTGGAAATAAAGTCATCCATAGTAAAGTATTAGACAGTTCATGTTATCTTACTTGGACTGTTTATAGTCTTATAGAAAAGAATGGTTAAAGAAACCAATAATTAAAATCTGTGCACATAAAGAAAAGAAGAAGAGTGAATGATTGGATTCCTAAGTGGATGGTGGATGCACGGGTGAATGAATGGTGGTAGGTTTCAGGCACGGGAAGTCTTCCTTTATCCAGGACTCATACTGTGTAAGTAATGGTCTATTCTGGTAGAAGAGGGTCTGTCTAGTAGATTTTGCCATTATGTTTCTTTGTTGTACATAGTAATTAATCTCAATCATTGACATGTCTTATGAACCTTCTCCTTTTGTCACTCGTCATACCAGCTTGAAATCAAATCCCTTTTTGTTTGATTGTTTGTTTAAGGCTGAAAGAGCATATTCGTTTTGTGGCACTATTGAATACATGGCACCAGATATCATCAGAGGAGGAGATTCGGGACATGACAAGGTATGTTCTATTTTTGACACTTTTTTTAGTATATCTCAATAAAATATATAATAAGAATCCTTGTTTATAACTTAGGTATAGTCTCTTCAACAGAGTCTCATTCTGGTGGTGTCTTATTTTTACTTTTTCTCTCCTTTGCTTTGTATACATGAACACATCATGATATCTAGTGTTTTGGAGGAAAAAGATAATAGAAATAGATTTCCCTTTTTTTAGGTTTTATTGGCGAGGATAATTTTTGTTTTATAGGATAACTTTGATAAAAAGAAACCTCAAAAGCAACTAATTCTTCAAATAAGAATCTATATCTTGAGCAAAGCACCAGTAACTCTATTTAAAATAAAAATCATTCATTTTCTGTTGCATGGGAGCTGCTCTTTGAGGACACAGCTGAGCCACAATGCAATACAGAGATGTCTGTGAATGCATAAACTGTCCACTGTTCCTGTTAGAGTCGCGCTGGATGATTTTGGACAGTGCTTATTGGCATTATTGATTTTTGTTAGGAAAATATATGGGACATATAATTAACTGTTTCACCTTAGGTTGATATTTGCTTTCTAAGAGATCATTGAATAGGGAATCTTTCCTGCTTTCTTATTCCAAGTTTCTGCTTTTAACTTTGTAGAAATACTGGAGACTTTCTTGATTATCTCTTCAACAGAAATAATCATTGTAATAATCCTTGGAGAAAGAAAATAATCCTTTTTAAGCATTCAAGATAGTCTACGATTGTTTTCCTAAGTCCTCTAAACAGCTTAATTTTTTCCTCCTCACTTTCCTTTGTATGTGCAAAATGAAGGCCATGAAGAAGCTTTCTAAGTAGTTATGCTATAAAATCTAGGTCACATATTTTTTCTGCCTGTATTACCTGTTCAATTCTTTTTTTTAATACTTTTGCTTTATTAATAACTTTTTCCAAATAGGGATTCTGACTATTTTTTGCTTCTCACTGTCCCCTTTCCCTCATCCCGTTTCAAACCCCACATATACAGTCCAACTGTCTTAAATGTGGAGAATATTTGCTAAGGACTTACCATATGTTTAAACCCTATTCTCCAAGTTTTCACATCTTAGTGTAGAGCCGTATCAATTTAAGAGCCTGGTTTCAAATAAAAAAGCAGAACATTCTGAGGTTCCTGACTCAGATGGCAGTAAAACTGCTTGTATAAATAAAAGAATTAAATTGCTGTTTTAGTTCATGTCAAGGCATTCTTTGAAACTATTGGAAAATTTGGTAGGCCTTTATAACTATTAAAATTTTTAAATTACCTTCTAAGACCTAATGGAACCAATTTGTAGGAAAGAAAACCTTATATTATTCCTAGGATTGCTACATACCTGAGGTCCAGAATACAGCTAAGTCAATGGGAGTTCATGGAACACCTTGATGACTTTGGGTTAAATGAGATATAATGTATACAACATGCTCATTGCTGTGCCAGGCTGGCACTCGTGGTTTCAGTCTGCCTCAGCCTGTTTTCTGTGTCATTGTTATGAATTTTCCTTAAAGTATCTCTAGGCTCATACATTTTGCATCATTTTTCTGAGACCTTACCTTTCAAATTTGGAAGCAGAGAGTTTAAAACTTTAGCATCCAGATAATATCTCATTGGCATAAGCTCTTATATTCAACTGTTATTGAAATCCTGATTTGCATAATTATAAAAGAAATAATTTTCAGTATATCAATATTCTTTAAATTATGTGTAATTTGTTGTGTTCTCAGTTCAGATAACTACACATATAAATTGGTTTCCAATTTAGATCACATTTTGTTTTACATTATTTAAAATCTCATCATGCTTCCTACAATGAAGACTATTAGCTTTATGTGATAGGTTCTATAAGAGGAATTGATTAGGTGATTATTTTTGTTTTATTTCTGTTCTTTGACTTTAAGTAATTGTATAATATTTATTGGAGCTGAATAATTAATAAAAATGATAAGTGGTAAAAAAAAATGGTAAGTGGTACTTTTCCCCCATCTATCATAAATCCAAAGATTTCACTTACTTAAGATTTTTAAAATTTATTTTAAATTAAAATTTTTATTTTTAATTAACCAAAGTAAAACCATTACTATTTATAAAATAACTAGAACGCATTTAAATTTTGTACTGAGGATACCTGGATATTTGTTCTCTAAACGTCTTGCATGAGCTAATTTAATACTCCTTGCACAAAAAGCTATGTACAAAATCTTTTTCTCAAAATATTTGCCAAATATACAGCTTTATTTTGTTCATTTTTCTTTCTTATAAATTACATGTTAGTTAATATCCTATCAAATGAAATTGCTGTTTTGTAGGCAGTTGACTGGTGGAGTTTAGGTGTCCTAATGTATGAACTACTAACTGGAGCATCTCCTTTCACTGTGGATGGGGAGAAGAATTCCCAAGCTGAGATCTCTAGGTAAGACTTAAAATAAAATCAATGTATTGTTACCTCAGAGGAGCTCATCCAATTTCTGTAATTCGGCTGATGGGGGAAAAAATAATTTAAAAAAATGGGGATAGACAAAATTAGGTTTAAGTAGTTAATTTCCATTTAAAATCTTATAGGATGTAGATATATAACCTTTATATTTTTTTATATTTTATGTGCCCGGATTGATCTTCTGTTTCATAGGGAGAGTGTCATAATTGTTGTGTATTCCAAAGCACTTAGCATATTGTCTTGATGGTATATTGAAGTTTATTTGATGGATACTTTCTTCCCACTGTATACATATTATAATTTCTTTGTGACTTTAACATAAATAGTGATATTTTTTAGCTCATGTATAGAGGCTCAATAGAAACAAATACCATAAAATCACCCTCTTGTAGATTACTATAGCATTATTCTATTCCTTTCCTTCATAGCAGTTATCACAATTGCATTGTTACATTTTCGTTTATAATTATTTGATTAATGTCTGTGTGTCCCACTAGATTGTAAGCTCTGTGAGAGCAAGGGCACGTCTGGCTTTGATCCTAGCATTGTATGCTCAGGTGCCAGCCAGCACAGTGCTTTACTATGCAGAATTCAATAAATACTTTTGGAATGAAATGAATTAATGAACAAATAAACAACAGTGATAAAACATTATACTAATTACTAGTTATGTTTTTGTCCTGTTCTTACTTGAATTTTATAACTTTGAGAGCAGATTTGACATTAAAAATTGAGACTTCCACTTATCAAAATGGAATAACAAGAACCGAATTTAGTTTTCTGCCTGAAACAGTTTTTAAAATGAGCAACATATCTGAAAGAACAATCTTGAAGATATTGACTATCTAGCAGTGAAGGACAGTGAACAATGAGAGATGGAAAATCTATGAGGTGAGCCCTATGATTGCCCAGCTTACTGCCTTGAGAGTGTCCAGGCTGCAGCGCAGGGAGAGTTGAGGTGGAGCTGAGAGTCCAGGAAGACAAAGGCAGCGAGAGTTTGAGGGCAGAGTGTCAGAGAGGAGAAAGCTGCAGAGAGAGAAGTTCCAAATTTTGCAGAAGTATTCAGTGAAGTAGCGAGAAGCACACAGTGTGGGAACTACTCAGTATAGTGAAGATGCTGTTTCTTTCCCAATTGATCTATAAATTCACCACAATCACAATCCCAGCAGACTTTTCTTTTATTTATTTACTAGAGGCCCGATGCACGAAGATTCGTGCAAGAATGGGTCTTCCTTCTCCTGGCTGCCGGCACCACCTTCGCACCGCCTTTCTGCCTTCCTGCGCTGCCCAGAGGCCCAGAGTGGCTGGGGTGGTGTGGAACACCTGTGTCATCGCCATGGCGATGATGCAAGCGCCCCCCCCCCCCGCGCCGCTCGGCACCTGCATATGCAAATTAACCCGCCATCTTTGTTGGGTTAATTTGCATACTCAGTCCTGATTGGCTGATTGGTGTTGTGAAGGCATGGTCAGTTTGCATCTTTCTCTTTTATTAGGGTAGATTTTTTGCTGGACATTGACAACCTGGACCTAAAATTCATATAGAAATGCAGAGAACCAGGAATAGCTAAATCATCTTTGAAAAAGTAATCCAAAGTTGACTTCAAGACTTTTAAGCTATAATACTTAAAAGGACACTGGTGTTTGTATCAAGATAGACAAATATTCAATGAAATAGAATAGAAAGGCCAGAAATAGAACCGCACAGATATAGGCAACTGATTTTTCCCCCAAAGGTGCGAAGTCAATTTGGTAGAGAAAAGACAGTCTTTTCAATAAATGATGCTGGAACCATTGGCTATCATGGGAGTGGGGGTGAGGGGAAGAAATGAACTTCTATAAATACATTCCACCATATAGGAAAATAAACTAAAAACGATCATTGACCTAAATGTAAAACCTAAAACTATAGAATTTTTGTAAGAAAACATAAAGGAACATCTTTATGACCTTGGGTTAGGTAAAGATTTCTTAGATAGAACACAAAAAGTGCAGTCCATACAAGAAAGCACTGATAAAGTAGACTTCATCAGAATTTCGGTCTTAAAAAGAAACTGTTAAGAGAATGGAAAGACAAGCCACAGCCTGGGATAAAATTATAAATCAAATAAAAACTCTTGAAACTCAAGGGGGAAAATCTCCATTTTAAAAAAAATGGGCAAAAAATTGAAACAGACAGTTAACCAGTAAAGATTTTTGGGTGGCAAATAAGCACATGAAAGGATTTAGGGAAATGCAACTAAACCACAATGAGATGCCACTGTATACTCACTGGAATGGCTAAAAATAAAGAGACTATCATAGGGTTCTCCAGAGAAACAGAAACAATGAGATATATAAAAGGAGATTTATTATAAGGAATCAGCTCACACAGTTATGGAGGCTGAGTAGTCCCACGATCTGCCATCTGCAAGTTGGGGAACCAGGAAAACCAGTGGTTCTGAAGTCACAAGACCAGTGTCCCAAGTAAAGCTCTTTTTTCCTCTTTTCTATTCAGGCCCTAAAGGGATTGGATGGTGCCCACCTACATTTAGGAGGGGATTCAAATGCTAATCTCAGGAAGAAACACCCTCACAGACACACCCAGAAATAATGTTTAATCTGGGCAACCTGTGGCCCAGTCATGTGACACTTAAAAATTAATCATTGCCGATTCACTCTTTGTCGGCTTGGCAGCCATATGCATCTCCTTCCAGGGTTGAGGAATCTTTTTTCTACCAAGGGCCATTTGGATATTTATAATATAATTCGAGATCCATACAAAATTATCAACTTAAAAATTAGCCTGCTATATTTGGTCAAGGATTTAATTAACTCACCCATAATGCCTTGGCAGGGCCACACCAAATGATTTCGAGAGCCTTGTATGGTCCGCGGGCTACATTCCCCACCCCTGCCTTACACCATACTTAATCTCCAAACAAAGAGGGTAACAAGTCATAATTCCACCTGGTGCAGAACACGGTAAGACCAGTGAATTTCAGAAGCATGGTCCCATTCATGCACTTCACTTGCTGTGAATTGAGTTCCTTGATCAGAAGCAATGCTGTTGGAATGTTAAGTGTCTATTCTAGTTAGAGTGAAACTCTGCCCTTTCCATAATGGCAGTAGCCAGTGTAGTCAGTCTGCCACCGGGTGGCAGGCTGATCACCTGGGGATTGATACCATATCGGGCATTCAGTGTTGGTTTCTGCTGCTGGCAGATTGAGCACTCAGCAGTGGCCATCGCCAGGTCAGCCTTGGAGAGTCGAAGTCCATGTGTATCCTCCATCCCTGCCACCGTGGCCATTTTATTTATGAGCCCACTGGGTGGCAGTGGGGTTACTGGAGAAAGAGACTGACCGGTATCCACAGAACAGATCAGCCTATCCACTTGATTATTAAAATCCTCCTCTGCTGAGGACACCCTTTGGTGAGAATTCACATGGGACACAGATGTCTTCATATTTTTTCCTTGTTCAGAGAGGTCTATCCACATACCTCTTCCAAGTATTGTTGTCAACCAGGCTTCCTTGTCACCAATTTTTCAATCATGTTCCTTCCGAGCCCCTGACCATCTAGTCAAACTGCTGGCTTTAATTGGTATAAAAGCACACGTTGGTCTTTAATTGGTATAAAAGCACACATCTGGTCATTTCCCCAGTGCTCAGTGAACACACAGGTGCACTGCTCCAAGCTCTGCTCCCTGGAGATTTCCCTCCACCACTGCTCTTCAGGGATGTTTCAGAAAGGGGATGCAGTGCTACAGCTGTCCACTCCGGTGGCACCTGCGTTATCATGCAGGACCGTGGGTAAACTTGGCCTGAGTCTTCTCATTCTCTGTCATCTTATCACAGGGAATTCCCCATGCGGCTGGCACAGAGAAGGCAGTGTAGCAGGAATGGGGACCATGGACATTTGGGACTTCTTTATGAAACTGACTTGTGCCTTCAGGGCCTGCTCCGCCCAGTCTCATGTATACCACTTCCATTTGAGGATGGACTGTTGCTGTGCACTCCCAACTTTATGGCTTCATGCATAATGTATGATGTATGATGGGTATCTCAGGCTGTATGAAACTTGGGGACCATAGTTAAGTATTTTAGTCTTTTAAAGCCCAGGAGCAGACCAGTAGCTGTTTCTCAAAAGGGGTGTCGTTATCTGCAGAAGATGGCAGGCTTTTGCTCCACAATTCTAGGGGCCTATGCTGCAGTTCACCTATCAGGGCTGCCAAGGCTCTGAACAGCATCCCTATCTGCCACTGACACCTCGAGCACCATTGGACGTGCTGGATCCTATGGCCCAAGTGGCAGAGCAGCTCAACCAGCAGCCTGGGCCTGTTGCAGAGCCTTCTCTTGTTCTGGCCCCCATTCAACAGCAGTTTTTCGAGTCACTTGTTAAATGGGCTGGAGTAACACACTCAAACGAGGACTATGTTGCCTCCAAAATCCAAAGAGGTTCACTAGGCATTGTGTTTCCTTTTTGGGTGTCAGCAGGGTCAGATGCAATAACTCATCCTTCACCTCAGAAGGGATATCTTGATATTGCCCCACACCACTGCACCCCTAGAAATCATTAGGGTAGGAAGCCCCTGAATTTTGTTTTCCACCTTCTGACACACAAGGTCTTAACAATAAGTCTAGAGTAGTTGCTACTCCTTGTTCACTAGGTCCAGTCAGCATAAGGTCCTCAATATAATGGGCCAGTGTGATAGCTGATGGAAGGGAAAGGTGATCGGGGTCTTCGAGAACTAAGTTATGATATAGGGTTGGAGAGTTGATATACCCCTGTGGTAGGACACTGCTGACCTTGCCAGCTGAAAGCAACTCCTTTCGTGGGCCTTATGAACAGGGATGGAGAAAAAGGCATATGCCAGGACAACGGCAGCATACCCTGTACCAAGGGATGCTCAAGCAATGAAACCACATCTGGAACAGCAGCTGCATTGGACTCACCACCTGGTTGAAACATATCATAACCCACTGTCATTCTTCAAGATT